GTGCCTAGCTAATTTAAAATTAACCTAAATTCATAAATGTTTCTTATTTTATTTTGCCACCACTTCAAAGTTTTCATAAAATTCCACATTTTCTGCAGAATAGCGACGTACTCGTATTTCACGTGAGACATTTTTAAGGGGTTAAGGTGAGTTTGAAAATTTCCAAAAATCGATTTTTTTTTTGTTTGCTTTATTAATTTCTACAATACCTCTAGAATATAGTCCTAAATTTTAAAGTTGATCTGAGTAATAATTTCGGAGATGCAGCCATGAGAACTTGTGCACTCAAGGCTAGCTGCGCTAAGTGCCCTGTCTTTAAACGCGTTTTTCTCGAAACTGTGCTTTTGAACACGTGCGGTGGACACGATTTCTCGAAAAGTTATCGACCGATTTAGTTCGAATTGTGTACACGTTTTTGAAATAATATTATCTAGTTATTGAACGAAGGATTTTTTCTTGTTTCATTACAACTTGTTTTTCTGACCAAAAAATGCCGAAAATTTTACCAAAAAAGAGATTTTTTGTTCAAAGTCCGAGAAAAGAAGGACAATTGTAATATTTTTTATTTCTTACATTCAAAAACGAGATTTAGATATGTACTAACAGAATATGCTTAGTTTTTTAACTTTATATAAACCAATAATATGTTACCCTGTCCACGGCGAGAGCACCTTTTTGAGAGACACCCAGGGAAATGCGGTCCCAACGGCGGAATTTTCAACATTTTTGTATCGAAATTTCAGGAGATATTGTTCGAATATATACCTTTGATATAACCTATTATATTTTTCAAATATAGGATTGCTTTTATTATAAAAAATAGTAAAAATACCTTTTTTTTTTGTACCTCTGAAACCCATCTAACCCCTTAACTCCTGCTACTTCGTACATGGCAATAGGTTTGGACAGAAAAAACCTCCTCGTTATTTGAAGAATTTCCTGCTAATAAAAACATGGAAGATGATGAAGTATCGAATGGCCTTCTGTGGGCAGTAATATTGGTGCTATGTAAGATTCTTGAGTAGATGAATTTGATAATCCATTCACACCTGCGATTTCAGCTGTGCAAAACATTTCACAACTTGTAGACGCAACGCCAATGGATAAAATATTCAAATTTGCAATCCAAGTTCCTTCTATACCTCCCAAATCAAATCTTTAATTTTAATGCAGAAATTGTCTGAATGTAATTTTCATCAAACTTGGATAGAGAAAATTTGCAAGTTCGATGAAAATTACACAGTTTTTTGAAAATTATTTCAAAATTACTGCAAAGTTTAAATGAATTTTGAAAAATTGTTTAAGAGGGTATTCTGGTTTAGAGATTCAAAAACTCGATTTTTTTCTTGCACATTTTTGTAGTATAGCCCTTCAAGAAAATGTTTCTAAGAGGATTTTTCAAATTATTTTTCCAGAGTTATAGCTCATTTTGTGACGCGCCGGCAAAACCGTTTAGCAGCCGGTGACAACTTTAAACTCGTTTTTCTCTCTCTAGAAACGGTATGCATGATATCTCAAGTTCTACTCAGTCTTATATATTATGGTATATACATTATGGTATCGCGCTATGAAGAGCTTTCGAAAGATTTTTTTATTTTTGTTAATTCCGGACCGCAAAAAACCGAAAAGACGAAGCTCTTTTTTTAAACCTCCACCATTTTGTAATCTTTTTTTCAAACACGTTTCGTAGTGCGATAACTACACTTTTACTCTTCACGGATTTCGCATAAATTTTAATTTTAGGTCACGGGGACAAGCCATTGTTTCATCAGTCTCTACTTCGCCGACCTGCAGTTTTTTTAATTTAATTTTTTTCTTATATAATTTATGTTTTGTATTCTTAGAATATCAGAAAAAAACATGTAAAAAAAATGGATAGTCAAAATAATTTTTGATTTTTTCTTATCGCGTCGAAAAAAAAATACCTAAAATTCGGGGTTCTAAACCAGAATACCCCCTTAAATTAGAAATTCTGTTCAATTATGCAGTAGTTGACAAAATTTTTTTAATTTTCAACCAATTATCTGCAATCGATTTTATCAAAGAAAAAAGTGAATTCGATCGGGTAGGACATATTGGGGTTTTCAACATATGGTGCATACACGATTTCTTAAAGTATTTTACAAGCTTCTCATGGGGTTTGTACAGTTGAGCCTTTAGTTATTCTCTAATACTTTTTCACATTACTGTTTGTTTGTCATAAAAAATAATGCTGTCTAAACTGTTAATGCCGAATTCTGCAAATTTATCCTACAGCCTGACTTTAAGTGCACTAATTTTATTGGCACCAATTGCAGATCTCTGCTCCAAATCAACCACCCCAAATTTGACGCTATTCGCCGATCTATGACAGAGGGGATTCGGATTACCACTTCACCACTCTTATAAACTTCACCTCGTGCACACGCATACCAAAAGAAAACCTACCTACCACACCGACTTCGGCCACATGGCCGCTATTGCCTGCAGCGCAGGTGCCGCAGAGCTAGATGCTGTTATAACGGCAGAATTTTGCCGGGTTTGCAGTCCTTGACCGGATAAAAAATCCGAGTCCGTTCCGGTTACGTAGATCCACTGTCGTTGGAAGGGGTGTGGTAGGTGCCGAAGTCGCTCGTGCCGGTACCGCCCTGCTCGTTAAAGGGAGGGAAGTACCACTATACCCCATAAGGGCGTCTACTTTCCCACGAAGGTGAGCGCTTTCTGCAATGACGGTCATCAAAAGTTGCTCATACCAACAATAGCTGCTTAACGCAGCCCCCCTTCCCCTCCGTCTCTTTGACAAGGCACCCCTTATCTGCAGCAATCTTCCTTGGAGCGCCCTTTATCGCGACTCTTCTTTCTCCAGCACCGCCCGATTTAATTCCAGGTACCGCAGCTATTTCGACAGTTCTTGCTTCGCTATCGGAGTTACTCTTTAATTCAAGGAGCGACCCCAGAAGTGCCTTTCTGCGCGGCACGGTTTCAAGGTTGCCCGTCAGAGTCTTTGTTATGCTCTGCGCAACGTAGGAGGGAAAAAAACGTTCAGCAAGAACAAGGGAGACGCTGCTAATAAAACAAAGGGAGGCAATTACAAAGTTTGAAGAGATCGGTCTGTACATGACCGCAAACCAAAATGTTAGGGCCAATACATCTTCTGAGGTCAAAATATCGAACGTTATGACGGTCAGTCACCCCAGGAAAATGACGACTGACGATAGAACCAACGTCGTCCCTGAGGGTTCGATAAATTAATGCCCCCAATGGAGGTGGGAAGGTTCTACGTGAAGTATGAACCTTGACCACCTAGTGGTGGAATGCAGAACAGAATCCGATGCTTCCGAAGGTGCGGTGAGAAAGACTGTCGGTTGGTCATCGTATGATTTCGGCTGTTTGCCAAGTTTACTGTGGTATTGCTAAGCGTTAATTGTTAGAGTTCCTATGCCGTTATTTGTGAGTTAGGGGGTGGTATGCTAGAAGTTAGATGCGGCATAGAACTTCTGATATCGACTGGATGGTCAGTAGCTGAAATGACTCCTCCACGGAGAAGAAAGGTTGAGAGACTCACTGGAAACGGAGAATCCACCACTTCCACAGTAGTGGATGATTCCACTTCGCGTAGAGAACCGACCGCGGCGTATGGCGCATATCGTAAAAGCGAAGTAGTGACCTCGAAGGAGCTGAGGGAGCTTGCCTCAAAATATGAAGCACTCCTAATGGCATTACCGAGAATTCACATCAGCGCGGACAAGTCCATGTCCTTAGAGGAGGTTGTGGCTTGCATTCCTCACCGCCCAGCAGGCGCCTGCCCCCGCAGCGCCTGTGCTGGAAACGATTGCACCGAAGAACAATGAAGAACTACTCCAGCTGAACGTCTAGGATTTCAGCTCGGCGTCCCGGAGGACTGATGAGAGGATGGCCAGGACTGGAAGGTGGTCCTTGCTCAATCCACCCCAACAACAACGCATTTAAGGGTAACAAGCTGGGCATCTTATGATGACAACTACTATTGCTAAGCGCGCGCTCGCCAGCGGCCAGGGAGATTGAAAGACTGAGAGTGGTATCGGGTAGTATCGTGGTGGTTGTGGTTAAAACCCGAACGCATAAAGAAGTGACACTTTGTCAGTTGTATGTAGAGTTGCATTGAAACCGGGTGCCGCACCCAAAATACGGCACAGACGGCACTTTAGATGGGCCTCGAACCCTACGAAGGAAGTTAGAGTGTCTATACCTCACCAACTGGTACTGAAAAATGTCTGGCATTTTCAAGGCGCTTATCAACGCATTGATTTGATTCGCTGTGCTTTAAGGCTGTCGTCAGCACGTACTCACGTTAAACACACCACACATTGTAGATGCATTTGTGTAGTTAAGCAAAGCCAATTCTTACTATTAACGGAACTGATAACGAGCTGGCAAGAAAACACAGCGTAGTCTTGCTAGCAATAGAATAGGATGGGTCTTCGTGCGTACCACTACTGGCTAGCTAGAGTTCTAGCTAGTCAACTAACTAATCATTGCCTTATCTGTGTTCATGCGGTACGGTTAAGACTCATTTAGGAAGTATTTTAAAAAGCCTGTTTAAAAGAAGAAACAACAACACCTACATCCAGATTGTCCAGCCATCTTACAATGATAAACACCTCGGATCTCACGATTTCAGTGGTCAGCAAATCGAAGAAATTTAAAACTTTCAGCATGAATCACCGACTGACTGGCTGTGACAACTAGAATTCGAATTAGAATGGAAAATAGAAACTAAAACAGTAATTGTTTCAAACTCCTCCATCAATTTCTATATACGTATATTGAAGTGCTCCTTTGTTTAACAAAAAAAAATTATTTTTACTGATCTTTGCAACAGCATCAACAGGCATACTGCAAATAAAGCTGAAAGGCATACAATTGAGTGACGAGTTCATCATTTCAATTCCACACAAAGTCGAAAATCTTCAAAGCACTCACCACTTTTAAAAACGTGTATGCATAATTCCAGCAAATAGCAGAAACAACAGCAGCATGTGGTTTTGAAATTTTTTTCAATTCTTTTTTATTTTTTTTTACAGTTATTGCCAGTAATAATTTGCTTTGGAACTTAAGTAATATTTCAACAATGATGCTTTTTTTCTGTATTATAACGGATGCGCAATATTTTAAATTTAATATAATTTGAATATTCTTAATAATATTGATTATATTTTACAATGTTTTGCATTTAAATGCTTATGTATAGTTGTGTAAGTATGTTTTGGTATACAATTTACAAAAATCATATTTTTTGTTTAATTTTTGTACTCAATTTTGTTTCTAGCCCAGCCGTTTCAGAAAAAATTTCAACTTTTATTAATAAATACAAACTTTAAATACAATTTTTACATAAATAATAATATTTGTATCGCTTGTTAAGGCTAGATAGTCGAGTGGTTGTCGTTAAATAATAAACAGCGATTTAACAATTTGTGTGATGTTTTAGAAGAACAAATTTTCTGCGTTTACTTCTGAAATGTAAATCTTATAAACGAAACGGAATAAAATTATTTTGTGTGCTAGTTTGCATACTTTTTTTTAATAATTTAATCAAATTTGGAAAAACATTTTGGAGAATATGAGAAAGACTACGCGTATGTGTTAATAAAATAGTATGCTATCAAATATTCACAACAAAATTTTCAAATCTACTAGCAATTTTTGTTTATATTAATATATTACAAAATACTGATCATAAAATTAAGCGCCGTTTTCTCCATGTCTGATCAGGCGTCATCTGTCAATTAAGTTCTGGTAAAAAAAAAAGTTCTTTATCGAAAGAATCAGGTTTGGTTAAGTTTACCAGAACTTAACTGATAGATGATTGCTAAGAAAAAACAGATGGGCAGACACAGAAAACGGTCCTAAATATATTAAAAACCGCTGGCTTAAAAGCAACTATTTAAGCATTCTTATGTCGATATAACACTATTCACCGCATAATAATCGTTTTTAATACGATTTTTCAGTACCAACATAAGATTCCATATAAAAAATATAAGTCCATATATTTAAAAATTTGATTGTTAATAGATAAAACACCAAACTGTTCAAAAACATAAATAAATTTTAATTAATATGTTTTCGAGATAACAACTTATGTCGGACAAAATTATCGATATCAATTTTAACGATTATTTTACCCTTGTTAATCGCAAACATATTGAAACTGACTGCTTAAGAGCAAATTTAAGACACTCTCCATACCATATCGAACGCAAATAGTCGATTTTTATTATCGATTTGTTTGTACAAGATACATGTCTATATAAAAAATGCATATCGTATATACAAAAATCGTATTTTTCAGTATAAACGGCTGTTCAAAAATATAAAACGCAGCTCTTTAAAGCGCTCTCGACAACTATATCGTCATTGAACGCAATTAATCGATGTTTTTTTGTTTAAAAAATCTTTCTATTCATATGCGGTTTTAAAATATCAAATTAAAAATAAAAATTGTCAATACATATCGCACTGTTCGCTTTATTTTTCATTAAGTTTAAGCTTGCGATACCTAGTCACTTAGGACAATAATCGCTCTCACTTTCAGTCATAACCAATTTATCTAAAAAGGTTTATTAAAGTCAGTCAAGGCTAAAACTTATGTTTTGTTTCTTCAGACTGTCTTTAACACTTTAAATTTCTGAAAGGATTACAATCAATTCTTACGAGATACGGCGACAACACCAACATAAGCTCCCCCTAATTTACGCAGCCTCTTCCGTAATCCACTGCCGTGTTATATGTTTTTGGGTTAAACGTCGCCTTAGTCAGAGATTATCCTTAAGATAAGGAAAAAGTAAGAGTGTGTCTCCAAAACAGATTGTCTTTAAGACAGGCTAATATACACAGAACATATAATAATACAGCTGTGTAATGGGTTGAATGGGTGAACACTTTCTTAAATGTCACTTTAGTGACAGATATTACATAGGCAAAGAAGCAAGTATATACATTCCCAAAGACTCATTTTATTTATAGATCTTTGAACAGTAGAAGGACTTATACTACTGCATTATTGGAAGAATTCCTTTCATAACCGACTATTTGAAGGATGAACGCTTTAGAAAATGAAATTTTTAGAGAGATCAGATTTCAACTCTGATTGTTCGAGGAATGCTTCTGAAATCGATACTCAAGTTCTGCCTGCAACACGAGATATTGTGGATGAATGCTTTCTTAATCGGTATTTTCACACGAAAGGAACATTACTTGTACAAGAATGCATCTTACTGAAAATAGAGGTAATTTTTGGCCACAAAAAGCACAACGAAATACTCGAGACGGCTTGTATAGCCATTTTATTCAGTATTTTTTGAAGGTCACCTGCAATTTTTGGATGTTTTTGTATATATTTTATTTCTAGGCGAACATTCAAATATGTTCCAATAAAGCGTTCCGTTGGTATCCCTTTTGTAGAAATCAAAATCAAAGGGAAAGGGATTAAACGTTAAGATTAGCTAAAAGTCAGGCATAAACGAAGCCAGAGGTTATTTGTTACCTGACACGTGTAATCTTTGAGAAAGATCTTCATATATGTTCAGTAAGAACTCAGAAGAGTTATCTCTTAAATGTCATTAAAAATATGAATTCTAAACTAAAATATGAGCATTGCAAATAGCATAGAGCAAGAAAAAAGTGAAATGATATTTTAAAACTAACAATTTTCTTGACAAATATTTTTCAACAATGCTTGTGTGAGTGGTTGTTTTCTTGATGGTATACGAAAATAGATTAAATAATTATAATTTCAGTGTAATAATAATAATGATATACAATTACTATTTTGAAAAAAAAAAAACAAATTTTGAAAAAATATTGCATACTTTTAGGCTTTCAAAAATTCGCACTGAAAGATATGCATTTTTCTCAGTGCACTTTTATTATTTTTAGTTAATGTTGGATAAAACATGTATCTTAATATATTATGCACATAACTGAGTGTTGCCTCACTTAAATAGATTCGTTGATTTTACTAATTTTCAAACTTTAAGTACCAACATACATTTTTTTACTGGAAACTCGTTACCGAAAAATATTTATAAAAGTTTTCAGGAAGTGATCGGTTTTAAAGACAAACCTAATATGTCTGTCTACTTAATTTGGCTCTTAGAAGATATTGGCCTCTAAACCCAATTTTCCAATGTCATTACCTAAGAAATTAACCGTTCCACCCGACAGTCGAGTCTACGTAACTAGAACGGAACCGGATTTTTCATCCCACTAAGGACTGAGAACTCACAAAAGTTTGTATTATTTTCTAGCGTCTAAACTTCAAGTTCATGTCAATGCACAAACGAATCAAGTTCCAAGAGACCAACTATAACTGGACAGATAGAGGTGAGCCGTAGGTTAATCGAATGTATGGGAATGAGAACAAGAATATACTATTCTAGAACTGTTCTCAAAGAATAGTCGCATATACATAACCGCAGCGGACACGATTCATATTCGGCTAGGATCTTTCTACTCAACAGCACTGCTCAAATCCCTAACAGTTACAGATTGTCCTCTACCTAAGATTGTTAGTGTTAGATGCTGATTGGAAATGATATGCTGATTTCTGGCACAATAAAAGCAAAAAGGCAAACTTTGCTATTCAGTGTAAGAAAGTCGAAAAACTAAGTCGTTTCTTTCGAAAAAATGCTTTGAATGCTTAGAGTAAGAGCTAAACGCAGATGTTTCTAGAACAGACGGCATCTCGAATAATTGAAAAACATGTGACTTAGATTAGTTTTAACATAGAATCCAATTTTCAGACCTACCCAGCGTTATGCCATACAAAACCAGACCGAGTTTCCAGTAACAAATATGCTAATAATCTTTAAGTGGTCGCCAAGATTTTAACCTAACCCCATTGGACTCCAGCAACGAGGCGGATCGGTAAAATAATTATTACAATTTAAAATAATACACAAATACTTGGAACTTACAAATACAAAATTTAAATGTAACTAAGTAATGTCATTTACCACCGTATCCAGCCGACGGCGCGGCAGCAGCGTTCGGCATAAACGACGACTCGTCCATGGATTGAGCGACAGCCGACGCTTGATGATGGTAGTCAACTGTTAAGGCTGTCTGGTGCTGTGTAAGCTGATTATGCATTTGCGAGTGTTGTTGTTGTTGTTGCAGCTGTGGCTGCTGACGGTGATGATTAGCGTAATGCATTTGTAAGCCTTCGGTTTTTTGTGCCAAATGATAATTAGCGCTCAAATGCATTGTTGTAACATTTTGTTGCTGTTGTTGTTGTTGCGTATTGTGTAGCGATTGCAGGGCTTCGTTGGCAGGGTTATCAACCTTTGCACCCGTCGTGCTGTTAACACTACTCAACGCAGGCGAGAGTGCAGTCGGCGTTGTCGGTGCTGATTGTGAGCCATTTGCGAGGTTGGCGGCGCGTTGCGATAATTTCGGTATTTGAAATTTACTATTGAAGCCCTTCATGAAACCCTCCATGTTGGCCGCCATTGCTGGTGAAGCATATTGTAGTATTTTCAACATGTCCGCTTGGTGGTCCAAGCGTGTGGCAGGTGCAGGAGTTGCGGTTGCATTGGCGTTCGTGTTTGCGGTCGACGTTGACGACGACGAAGCAGATTTCTTGGCGGACTTACGTGCTGTGGCGCCACTAGCGCCCAGGTCGCCAAATGAATTTGTGCTGTAGCTTTTGGTCAGGCCACCAGTGGGATTGGTTGATTTTATGGACAAGCTTCCCGATGAGTTTGACTTTTGAAAGGGATGTTTAGATATGGTACCCTTCTTGGACGGTGACTTGGCTGACGCCAACTTCTTAGAGGCCGGTCCACTGCTAACGCCCGGTTTGAGGCCCGTATGTTGTTTTTTAGTTGAACCGCTACCCGTTTTTAAACCCTTCCCAGCTGTTGTGGTGGTGTTGGCTGCAGTAACCGTGTTAGCACTGCTACTACTGCTGTTGCTGTTACTGTTGGCGTTGTTGTTACTAATACTGGATTTGCCAGCACCGCTCGTCTTGTTGATGGTCAGCTTCAAGCCCTCCTGGCTCGATTTCACCATATATTCGGTTGAATTGAATTGTTGTGTTGACTCGGCACGTCCAACGCTCTTCGACTCACTGCTGCCAATGTCCGGCGGTGAGTGTTGGAGCGGCGCCGACACTGGCGCTCCCGGCAGCGCTTGCGTTGCTGTTGCTGTTGTTGACGCGACTGACATCGTTGACGCCGTCGAACTAACCTGACAAAAGAATTTCGTATCATAGAGAGTGTGTGTGTGGATAAATTACACGCGGAAAGCATAAAAATGAAGAAACAATTATAATGAGTGTGAGTGGTGAGTATATGGTGGATAGGGGCGAATTTGGGAGAAAGTAAATGTTTGATGAGGTTAAAAAAAGTTGAGAAAAGTGTTCAAAAAATTATAGTTGATATAGCAAGAGTGTAAAAAAAAGAGATAGAGAGAGAGAGAAAGAGTGAAGTATAAATTGTTAGTAAATATTGTTAAAAAATATCATTAAGTTTTGTGTTATAGTATATCATATTAATGTGTACAATTACTTCAAAATCAGCAATTAAATTAATTTTAAAATGCTCACCACCGAAAAAAATATATTCTCATAAAAATAAATACCAAATTAGTGATTTTTTTTTAATTTTATAGATTTTAATTTTTTTTTAATTTTAAAATTAATTTATTAAATGTATAAACATTATTTAACAAGTTTTTTAGTAACCATTTATGCATTTGATAAACTTGTTGAGAATTATAGAACATTTATTGGAGGTATGAATTAATATTTTTTATTATTATTCTATGAACAGTATGCATTAAGTTTATCACGAAGGAAACGTCGGAGACCCTTTAAAATATAAAGAAAAAAAGTTCAAGGCTTGTACAACTGTCTGTCTGCTTAATTATCCGAACTAGTCGCTTAATTTCTTGTACTCGTATAAAAATCTTTTTATTTGACGAGACATCCTCACTAACATATTGTTCGGATTGGACCACTATAGCATATATGTAGCTGCCATAAAAACTCCCAGTATATGAGCTTCCGTTGGCTATTCCATCCATTACAAATTTAAACAAAATTAAGTCGAAGCAAGTAAAAACTCTAATTTTTTTATAAAAAAATCAACAATTTTCATTAAAAAAAAAACTGTATCTAACATAACCTCAAAATTCAAAGCCAAACGCAATACTTCCTGGAACTTAAAGTAAATACAAATTAAAGTAGCTTGTTTTGCATAGTGGAAGTTTTTTTCGGTTTTGAATTTAATTTAATTAATTCATATTTTTTTTAACCACACCTTTTATAGAAATATATATTTTACTACACCAGCATGCATTTTAATCAAAAAATTAACCAAAAATAACTTAAATATTAACCAAAATAATTTCCAAATCGCAAATTAAAAACTAAAATATTAAATAAAAATAAATAAGACAAAACTACAAGTGTTAGCATGTTTATACTTTTTATTTATTTTTCTATTATTATTATTCTTTTTAAATTTAAAAAACTAGAATACAAAGATTTGAAAATTTTAAATAAGAAAATACATAAAGTTAGCATTGTAAGAAGAAAGCTAAAAAAATATTATTTTCTGTGCAAAAATTTATTTTAAATACATTAAAAGCTTTATTTTTAGAAAAAATGTATCTTCTGTCATACAGGGTCAAGCGCCTAACAGTATTTAAAATTATTTTTGACAAGTGTTGCATTTTTTGTTAAATAAATGTAGCATTAACACGTTAGCTTGTTTGTTAATTCAATTTTTACACGCTTTGCTTGGTTCACTTTTCTTTTTTGAACTTTATAAGCTTTGAAAGAACTTTTATCACTTTGGAAAATAATTTAAACCACTCGGAACAGCAAATGAACCGATAAACTAGACTTATACGCTATGAAAAATAATAAAAATTWAAAAAAAAAAATTATATAAAAATAAAAACTTTTCAAAAAGATGTGTACTAGCGAGTTGTGTCTACTGAAAATTGTATGAACTTACCGCGCCACTCACCACTTTACGCATAGCTGCCACTTGTGATGCTGCAACGGCCGCCGCATTCATATCCATTCCCCCCGGCGCACCATTGCCACTCAATAGCTGGCCAACACCGCCACTAACACCACCAGCGCCACCGCCACTCATATTGTTCACGGAACTATAGCCACCAGCAGTTGGTGCCGCTAAATGATTGATAGACTTCATTTGTTGCATACCACCAACCACACCAACACCCATAGCTGCTTTCACTGCATTAGCAGCCGCAACACCGGCCGCCGCATTGCCAACTAAACTGCTTGCAGCACCACAACCGCCTTTATCGCCTTTCGGACTTAGACTGGTCGCTGTGGCACTCTTCAGTGTCGACATACTCGGCTTACCCGAAGACCCATGCTTTGGCGAATGCGTGCCGAACGGTGACTTCGGACTATTGGAGGCGGTATTCGAATGCTTCGGACTGCTATAGACGGGCGAATGTTTCGGGCTGGGACGTGTCGAAAGCAGCGCAGCATTGCCGGCAGCGCCAGTGTTAGCGCCGCTAAGCATACTGCTACCGCTGCCACCTTTTGGTGAGGAGGAAGGTGATGAGAATTTGCGCGCCGCCACTGTAGCAGCGGTCTCGTTGGTGGCAGCAGGTGAATTTTGACGCGAATACACTTTTTCCGGTGGACCCATGGGTGAATCATCGCGCTTCTTTTTACGTTTCTTCTCCTTTTGCGTATCACTAGTTGAGCTTACGTCCAATGGACGCTTGCCACTCACCGTAGACATATTCGGAGCGGTATTTAAACCGGCACTGCCCACAGCTGTGCCGCCGCTCGATTTTTTATCTTTATTGGTATTAATACTCGTATTGGTCACGGCGTTAATGGGCGTTATAGTGATGGTGGATGAGGTGTTGACGCCGGTTTGCGGAACATTCGTGCCGCCGGGCAATGTGATTGAAGCGCCGCTTGCATTGGCGCCATTTGCTGCAGTCAGTGGAATAATTTCTATGCCGACGGAGCGTTTCACATCCACGCCTTGTTGTTGTGTGGCGCCTCTGCTATTACTATCCGGTGAAATGGGTGTTATGCTGACGCAATTCTTCAAATTTGTTTTATCCATCCAAATGTTCTTGTACTTATCAGCTATTTCGATTTCCGTTTGATTGCCGACGGTATTTTGATCATGTGGTGATGCGGTTTGTTGTAGTTGTTGCTGTTGCTGCTGCGTTTGCTGTAGCTGATGTGCGCTGCCCAAAGAGCTGCTTTCAGCAGCAGCATGGAAAGCTAAATTATTTTGCATTTGACTCTTTGGGCTATCATGAAAATCCTCCTGCTTCACTTCGTTTTTATATTGCAGAAACCCTGCAATGCCGGCAGCGCTATTGCAAGCTGCGTTCATACCAACGCCACTAACACCACCACCCATTGTCGTCGTTGCGGAAGCCATATTGGACATTTGTTGTTGTTGCCGTTGTTGTTGTTGTTCCATTTTAACGGCACTGCCACGCATGCCGGCACTACCGCCAACACCACCGCCCGAATCATTAGGTCCCATGACCATACTAAAATTTCCATAACCAGCATTGCCAGTGCTACCGCAAGGGCCTGTACCACCTAAACCGCCCATGCCGCCGCCAACACCACCACCGATAGTGCGCTGAAACATGCTCATCGTTTCTTGATCCCAAAACTTAAGTAACGCACGTATGGTCACCGGTATGGATAAACACTTCTCCACAACTTTTGTAAGCTTCAGCGACAGCAGATCGTAGTTATGTGTTAGCGAGTAGAGTGCACACTTTACATTGCCGTCACGTAAATCGAACTCAAGTGTTGCCATTGTTTCCTCGAAGGTATGTTGCAGTGAAACACTGATTTGTTGAAAGGAAATAGCATTGACTTCGAGTATGGTGGTGGATTCCATATCTGAAATGAGCGAATTATAATTATTGTCGGCCGACTAGTAGTTGTAATATTTAAAGCAATAACTTACCATTACCCATTTTGGACTGTGTACGTACACAACTAGCCAAGAGTGTGTAGAAAAGCGCCTGACGTTTAAGAAAATCTAAAATTTTTGGTACTTGCATAGGCTCCGTAAAAGGTATGGAGGAAACAAGGGTAGCCTAGAAAAAATATAAACAAACAAAGAAGTAAAGAACTTGATTTTAAAAGATCAGTTTGTATGGTAGCTAAATGTTATGAACAATTTGTGCCAATGATGCAATAAAATAATTAGTAATGGGCGGGGACTAATTCATTGGGAAGGAGTTAGTGAAGGTGTTAGTAGATCCAATGTGAATGGCGTTTAATGCCTGTCGAAATTTGGTTGCGTCCGAAATTTGTTCGCTATACTATTTATGTCGTCGACGTGTTGGAGGAATATTCTTCTGATGTTTCTACAAGGCAGGAGGAGCGCCTTGAAGCAAATGATTGTTTAGAGAGGAGGGTATTACGCTCCTTTGGCATGTAGCATGCGGGCCTCACTATGTAAGCGTTCAATGGGAGACATCAGAAGGTTTGTATCTTTCCCATTTGCGTCCTAGCGCACCAAGAGGACCATATCGTCGGCAAATTTATAACCACCTGCATAATTGCTTTGTATTTTCCCCAAGTGCTATCGGCTTGTGACTTGAGGATTTGTTGCTACTCTATACTTTTGTGACAATCGCGATTGCGGAATGATGGAGTAAAGACTGCCGATTGTTACTCACAAAATTTAAGGGTGGTTGGCCTTCGGAAATCTGACTCCATCGACGAAAATTTTGAAATTCACTCTGTACTTCTTCGTTGAGTTTGTGAATAAGGTGACCATGTATTTAGTAGGGAAAGGTTTTAGGCTCTTAGCAGTGAAGTAGCATTTCTGAGATAGGCGTTTGGGATATAACAAAAATATTCATAATTTATTATATTCTAACTTAATTAATAAGACCCACCTGCAATTTTTTATTCTCCGTGAAGAAGTAGCAATGCGTCTGATCCGGCAAATTCACAAAGAGACCTTTCTGTGAGTTCTTTAACTGTTGATCGGAAGCGGTTTGCACTACCAAATTCATAATCGACGATATGACTACGTCTTTTTTGTCTGGTGACTCCAAGCCGGTTGCGCCATCAGATGCAACACCAAGTGGCAAGCCCAAAGCTCTCAAGGTGGCATGACACACAGGTAGCGGTTTGTTTAGACGTAGCACAAATGTGGCGGGCAAGAGCATGGAGTTTTGCTGATTCAACGGAGCATATATTGGTATATCAATACCGGTCTGTGGATCATTAGTTACGCTAACAATAGGTAATATTTGCAGTTTATTCGCTGATGAAGCCTCCAGGTTTACTGTCACACTGAAGCCAACATCTTTACTTGTAATCAAATCGGTAGTGAGCGGTTGCATCGATTTGGTATCCAGTGATAGAAGATCATAAGGTGATACGAAATAGATGAGCTTCATTGGATGACCACCACGTCGTTTAAGCACTAAACCTACCGCAGATGCTTTGACCAATTGCTGCGAGTCTTTTGTGAAATTTTGCATTTGAAATAGATTATATAAGTCGGTTTCCATTGCTTGTAAGGCAACAAAAGCCTTCGTTTTGACTTTGGGTTCTGCATTTAATTGATAGATGGATGATAAACCCTCCAACTGCACAGTGAAATCGGCAAAGTCCCCCCGCTTCAAACAATTTACCAATTCACTGCATGACTGCTGTTCAATTTTGCATTCATGATGCACTTTGACATCGGTAAGTGCGCCGTTCGCGTCCAATATTATTTCCAAAAAGAACATATCGGTTGAAATAAACAAACCCGATGTATCTTCCATGAACTTGAGGCCCAGCTGACGCGATAGACTCTCAAGTCTTTCAACCAGTCCTTGGCGTGATGTTACTTTAATGCAATGTTGCATGCTGTCAAGGCATTTTTGCAAATTAGCTTTCTCAACTGCATCGAGCGCATAACGTTTCTCCAACATGGACATACGCATAGCCTTCGCAAGTTCAGGAAATGATTTGTGTTGATTGGAGCGCGTACGTATGCGTTCCATAAGCAGTTCGCGTTGCCATTGTTTATTTTTCTCCGCAGCGCTTGGTGCAGAGCTGAGCAACTGAGCAGCAGTTGTTGCTGAAAAAGATATTATATTGTAAATATTCTTCACAAAACAATAAAGTGCTCAAAGTATTATAAATATTGAATACACTTGGATATTGATATTATAGAAGACCTTTTAACAAAACATCTGTATGCATATAATGCATATTATAACTTTGTGCAATTATGTGTACTTAATAATAATTGTTTTTAACACTCACTAGTTGTTCCGACCGCCGTCTTTGCTACAGTGGAATTCATCATATTATTGAAAGGGTTTTCAACGTGTAACAAATGCGGTGAATTTAACCAAGAATGGCGCTCCGCTAGGCAAGCCGCCGTCGATAAACTTTCTCACACCTAACCACTTCACTTTTTTAGTTTCTCATATAGATAACATTAAATGTTTAAGACATATATTTGCATTACATATCTGTTTTTACAAATGCACGATATAACTTTTTATATAGATACTTTTTCAAAATTACTTAAATCCTTCCTTTGCAAAATCGTTGCTTTCTTTTCTGCCTAGTTTCGAAAAACACCAAGAATGTGTGAAACTAATCGATATTATCCATATATTGGTAATTATCTGATAGAAGATATCGATAATAAAAGGTTAGTGAAATCGTCATTTCATTGACTCCGCTGCGAGTTACGACTACAGAAACCGGAGTTCTTTGAAAGAATTAGCGCGTCACCTTATATCTACGTTCAGTCTTGGGGTCTTTAGGGATTAACGGTTAGTGTTGTCAAATTGACCTTAAGAAACTCTTAGTCACTCGAAAATAAATGGGCAGTTAACTGGTAAGATAACTTACTGATGGCACAAAGGAGTGAGAAATAGAAAAAACTTAAAAATGAAGTAATGCAATTGGAGGACCGAACCCTAATATCAGAAAAACGTATTTCAAAACGCCTAAAATACCCCACAATTTTGTAAGAATTGCTTAGCTACGAGGTCAATTTATGCAATTAAGGGGAAGGCAAGGTTTCAAATTTGTGCTCGATCACTCGGAAACTTCTGGTTGAAAACAAGCTTGATAGTCAAAGAACTAGTTGAAATTGTGACATTGAGCATCGTAAAATAGGCATTGAGTTCGCTAAACGTGATATCAAGTGGAATGAAATAGCATATTAAATGTAAAAATGGGGTAACTAACTACGGACAGACGAAAGCAAGGTAAGTTTAATTGGAAGTGAGGGTATACGTTTCGTAAGGCATCGAAAAATGTAGTATCTTAGCACAAACATTCAAATGCTTCTCTTGGTAAAGTGAAGTAAAGATACAGAGGACATCTGTGCTCTCATTTTATATATATATACATATTACATATTATATACTTTAAAAACATTGATATTATTTCTTTTAAGTCAAATATTATTACTAAATACACGAGATTTTTATTAAAGTTTGTAGGAATTTTTTAGGCCAAGTTGAGATAACTACTTGAAATTCTGGTGTGCATGGTGTGCAACTCGTTTTTACCCAAAGGGTTAATAAAGTGCAACGTAGGTATGAATAAGTTTCCATGAAGAATGATAAAAACATCCCAATATTATTCTAGGATTCCTTGAAATTTTTTTCAATATTACTAGAGTTTCGGGTACTCGCGTCTTGCTGAATTCTCTTTATTATTTCTTTCTTTTGTAATTATTGAATAAATTAGAATTCACTGAATTTATAAAATCTTAAATAACTATCTTAAGCTTAACTCAAATATATTAACAAAGGCATCATAAACGCATTAAATATTTTTTGAACTGCCAAACGCTTAAATTTATGCGTAAATCACCATAAAATCCAAATCCAGCAAAGCCTTCGATTTTTACTCTATTTTTAACAAATTTGTGTACAAGAGAAAAACGTCAAAATTTGACATTTCATAATTAGACGTGTGGTTGTTTTTTTCTTTTCTGTACGAGTGTAATTTTTATTAGGGACCAGTGTTTGCAAATTTTCCTCGGGAGAATAAATAACAGATAAACTTGGATTTTATTCCAATTAAACTGCGAAATAACTAAACATGTCCTCGATAATATTGCTGCGTAATGGCCAGATAGCAAGTAAGTTTAATTGTGCTCAGTCGCCCTAACAGGAGCACATAAATATTATGTAACTTTCATTTTGCAGTAAAATGTATAAATAATTCATATATTTTTTTATTAAATATTTCACGTTTAATTAATTCAGAGCAACAGACCAGCGCTGCATTGAGCGTACTCTTTGTGCGCCATGCTTCGAACTCCTCGGAAGGTCCTCGTCCACTAAAAAGCACCAATGTCAGCACCATGCGTCGTGGTACCGGCGGACGTAGCAGCTTTAATGGTATTGTTGCGACTATATTCGGTTGTACTGGTTTCGTAGGTCGCTATGTTTGCAACAAGCTTGGCAAAACTGGTACTCAAATGATAATGCCTTATCGTGGCGACCACGGAGAGGCTATTCGTCTTAAAGTGTGCGGCGATTTGGGTCAAGTGCTGTTCCAATTTTATGATTTAAGAGATGAGAAAGCGATACGCGATGCTGTGAAGTACTCGAATGTAGTTATCAACTTAGTTGGTCGTGAGTTCGAGACTAAAAATTTTAAATTCAATGACGTGCATGTGGAAGGCGCGCGTCGCATTGCTAGGTAAGCTAAAATTAAACTTGTTCAAAAGATTTGCCATGTAGTGTTTAATTTTTTTATAGAATCAGCAAAGAAGCTGGAGTAGAACGTTTGATTCACCTGTCTGCTTTGAACGCTAGTCCGGAACCAATGAGCTTTGTGCTTGAGGGTGGCAGCAACTTTTTGAAGAGCAAATACTACGGTGAATGTGCTGTTCGCGATGAATTCCCAGAGGCCACCATTATTAGGCCAGCTGACATCTATGGCTCTGAAGATCGTTTCCTACGTTACTACGCCCACATTTGGCGTCGCCAGTTCCGTGCCATGCCACTCTGGTTTGCGGGCGAACGCACTGTAAAACAACCAGTTTTTGTGTCAGATGTTGCACAAGCTATTGTTAATTGCGCTAAGGATCCCGATACTGCTGGTCAGGTTTATCAAGCTGTTGGGTAGGTTTTGAGCAATGTTGAATTTACATAATTTCCATTATGATAAAACCACCCAATTCCCATCCTGCAGACCAAAACGCTACCAGTTGAGCGAATTAATTGACTGGTTCCATCGTGTTATGCGCAAAGATGAGAAATGGTGGGGATACCGTCGTTATGACATGCGTTGGGATCCAACCTTTCTATTGAAAGCCAAGTTCACTGAGCTAATCTGCCCTGGACAACCTATTGGTGAGCTGCATATGGAACGTATCGAGCGCGAATGCATTACCGATGTTGTTCGTTCCGACATACCGTGCTTGGAGGATTTGGGTGTAAAATTGACCTCAATGGAAGAGCAAGTACCATGGGAATTGCGACCATACCGTGCAGCGCAATATTATGATGCCGAATTGGGAGAGTGGGAGGAACCAGCTCCTCCAAAACCGATAGAACATCGGGAAGAACTACGTATGTTTGCATAAAACTACTATAATGGCAACAACGCTAACAACAATAGCCAACTAAATAATGAACAACACTCATCATATGAAAGTTGGTGGCGTTGGTGGCCAAATAACGACTTGAAAAAAAAGAAACATTTGCATATACGCGAATTGCTCTTCGTTGTACTTGTTGTGCGGTCTTTGTGGTATGGAGTTACATCTAGTGAATTATGGTCGATTATGAATGATGTAGAAGTTGATAATGAAAATTTAAAAAACAAATAAATGTAATTTGGTTAATGAACCCCTATTAAAAATTAAGATATTTGAGTTGTGTTTTTATTTGGGCAAATAATTGTTATCGATTAGAAATATTTCCCCACGGAATATGTTTCGAACAGTCGACAATAAAATTGTTGCTTGCATAAAAATCTAATATTCATGTAGGTGTTAGTACTTTGTTAATTATGAATGTTTATAACTTATCGCACTTACATATTTATTTATTACTTTTGATTTGATACTTGCATTAAGTTTAATTTATCGATATATAGAAACATGGAGCAGTGAACATAGCCACTTCTTACCGGGTAACAGCTGTCAGTTGAAAATTAAAGCTGCCATATTAACGAAACGAAAATTTACCTTTCACACTTGAGCAGCTGATCGGTGCTCTCAAAATTGTAGTTGGTTATGTTTGATCACTGCGATTATTTCAACTTTAAACGTGCCGTACGCCAATAAGAATTCGGTTGTAAAAACAAGTTTAAAAGCCGGTTCCTAAGTTTAATACTTTGTATCTGAAAGGGTACATGTATGTGTATGGCAACTCCTTTGGTTGTAAACTGTGACATCTAGAACCCGGAAAAAAGGCGAGAAAACATCAACGGTTTTTCAACATCGTGAGCCTTTCGTGTCGCTCTATATTTGTATACACAGTTGTTCGGTTTGGTGTGCCTTTAACTTGTGAAATTTCTGGAAGTTCTGAAAGAAATCCGCTGTTTATTTCTTAATACCTTTCGTGTATGTAAATTATATTTTAAAGTGTGCATAAAAACTATAGATAATTACAAAGTAAATAGTAGTGCTAGTGCTAATTGTGCATGTGTAATCGTTTGATACAGAAATATAAAAAAGGCATATTGATTATGAAATAGTCCGCAGTTTTGCATCCTACAAGTGCAGTATAGCGCATATAGGTTTTTGTGATGTTGAAGTGTTAAATTAAGTTTTTTGCAATAAACGTTTAAGTGTCACACCCATTTCAGGAGTCAAAAGGAAAAGAAAAACAGCCTATCCGAAGTGTTTAGGAAAAATCGAAATCGTGCGAATTACAGAAGAGTGCTAAAACGACGCCCAAAAATAATTGCTGTCCACAGGAAGCTATTGCAAATTTCGCGAGTAGAGAGGTGAGAGCTATGAAGCTACCGCCAATATATGCATAAGTGCAACAACAAATTTTATTACAACTATCCCTGCGCAAAAATTGCTTACAGCTATTGCAAGCTCGACACTAACAACAACAAAAAAAAAACAGCAATTATACTGTTGTGAGTGTGTGCAATAGTTTTGTGCTATTTTTAGAATATCTGCACTTTCTTGAGCCCATCGCAATTTTCATTGAACGGCAATTGTAAAAAAATAATTATTTTATTAGCGTTTTCAGTGTTACAACAACTAATCAGTTATCAGTACGCGTAACGTTATTGGATAACCCGTTGCTGAGCAGTGCTCACTCAAAAGTTAACCGGATTTTTAACGCGCATATACAATAGCAACTACAATAGTGGTTGCCCTTTTTAGCATATACCAAAAATTTATGCGCTCTACCGCAACGGCGGCGTCAAAGGTGTATAGCCGACGGAGTCGTTACAGTTACAGCAGCAGCAGCAGCTGAAGACAGGTGAAATCCAGCTACGCTTCAGAATGCTATTTGCAGCCTGCACCGCTGCAGCGCCGAATCCGCTGCAGCATACTGCTCATGTCGCCAACAATTTGGGGCAACAGCAGTTGACGTCTCTGCAACAGCTGAAGGATCAACATGCGATGTCCT